ATTTGTGTGTGGCCAGCTCAGCCCACCAGGGGGCGGGGCTGGCTGGCATGTGGTGCTGGCGGATTGAACCGCAGTCCCTATGCTTTGCTAAGCTTGTTCTAAGTAGGTGCTTTAGACCACTGAGCCATCTCACCAGCCCCAAACAAAACTTTTTATTAATGTGATTATAAAATATTTATAAATTTACTAGTAGGGATGAAGAAAAAAAAAACCTAAGAAATTACATTTTAAAATTACCACTATAGCAGCTGGGGATGTAGCTCAATGGTAGAGTGCTTACCCACCATGCTGGAGGCCCTGGGTTCAATACTCAGTACCACAAAAAAAGGTAGAGAGAGATTAATACCATCTATTGAGCAACTGGTTTATACAAAACCACATACTAGATATTTTGTATATGTTGTAGCATGAAAATTATAGGACAAGTATTATTCCCATTATAAAGGAGGCACCTGAAGCTTAGAGAAGTAACAATGTCATACTGCTAGTGACTGGCTGGGCCAGAGTTTGCACCTGGATTCATCGTGGTTCTACTATTTGTGACCTTAACTACTAAAATGATATATGAGTTAATGTGTTTTGTTTTGTTTTTAACTTGAACAATGGTCTTTAATTTCACTGTTACTCAATCTGGGATCATTCACTAGAATTAGACAAAGCAGGGGATAAGACAAACAGGTACAGGTGTGTCCTACAGTTTCCACTTACAAGTTTCCCAAATGGCTTTTAGAGAGTCCAATAAGAAATATTAAGAAAGAAGGAGGAGGAACTCTCTTTGATCTTTTTCCTTAGGTTACCAACAGAACTTTGAAGCAGCCATGCTCTTGGGTGAACAATTCATCTTGAAAATCTCCAGTCCATAGAGCAGAGAGGTAAGCACAGTAAGAGAGTCTTCTTTAAATCATTTCCTATCATAGCTAGCAACACAAATTCACTCCATATTTACTATTACTTCCTAATAAAGATCATAGCTTAATTAATGTTTTCTGCCTATAGAAATGTTTAGACATTTCCATACAGGAATAGGTGATAACAAATTAAAACATCAAAATTTGTAATTCAATCTGCCATAAGAAGAGAAATATTCTCCCTCATCCCATGAACACAAGGCTTGATGAGTATATACTAAATAAGCTGAAGGAATCCAAAAATCATAGTTCCTGGGAGAATATTCTCCATTACACTATAGATGACAGGGAGTTGGATACTTACTTATCTACAAGAGTTCGTATTACTGCCAGTGTATCCAGCACTAGCCCATCTACATTTTGTTTTTTTCTCCTTGGTTCATGTGGTCCTCGACCCCTCCTTGGTGGCCGCACAGGGTCCCGGGGTTGGCTCCTCATGTCAGCAGTGGGGACTGCATTGTTCTCGGCCTGCTGCTGGTGGGTGTCAACACTGTCTTCTGCTCCACTGTCATCTCGGCAGATACAGGAATTACCCATGGTAGCAGCAGCACCTCTAGTCCCCAGTAGGTTGGCTATGTGCTCCTGAAGAGTCAACAGCAGACCCTGGCCAAGGCTTCTGCTCACTAAGAACACGGCCCAACCAAGGACAATCATTTAGATAGTTTTCAGTTTTCCAAGTACTGTTTTCATAATCTGCAGTTGAGCTTGCATCCTATTTGTTTTTAATGACTGAACGCCAAAGAAATTTGCAAAGCTGATCTCCAACATTATCAGCTATGGGGAAGCCTGGTCATAAACGAGCAGTCCTTAAAGAAAGAAAGGAAAAAGAATGAATAGAAGATTCTTGACTACTCAATTACTCATACTTTACTAGTTTGGCTTTATAGATATTTGAATTACAATGCAGAATTATCTTTGGTTATAATATCTTTGAATAACAGAATTAACAATCAACCAATCATTCCTTATCATCATTATATTAGAAAGTTCATTTCTAGACCATATTTTTGCTAACCACAGGAGATACAATCAATGTTCAAAAACCATATATGTGACTGTTCCTATCTACACATATCAGAAGGATGTGCAATTTATTCAAGGGTTCCTTTTGTGATAAAAATCATTTCTTTTTCTTTACATAGATGGAATAATTTGTTTCAAATAAATTATCTAATTACACGTGTCTATTGTTGAAGTTATGATACAAATGTGACAGCACCTATTTGACACTGAAAAGAATAAGAAAGTGCTCCTCTTAAATGACTAAAGCTATACTGATGTTCCATGTAGAGGCTCATTCAAGAATTTACAGAAATCATAGAAATAGTTTTTCTGTTTTAGGTAAGCAAGTCTCTTTTGGAAAAACATGTGACTATGAAACAGAGTTACATTCTCACAATCATCAGCTTGTTGCAAAACACATCTGTCACACAGTTAAGAACAAGATGTATCAACTATGTTTGTCTGAAAACACTAAGCACTTAGTACCAGGCACTAGAGTGGGATTAAGAGAGTAAGGACAAGGTATAGTCCTTGCCATGTAGGAATTTATAGATGCCATACCACACAGTATACTTATCATAAAAAAAGCAATAAAAGAGATTAGCCATGAGTGGTGTGGCACACACTTGTAATCCCAGCTACTGGGGTGGCTGAGGCAGAAACACAACTCAGTAGGACCCTGTCCTCCCCCCAAAAAAGATAAAAGGGCTGAGAGTAGAGCTCAGTCATAGAGAGCCTCTGGTATCAGAGCCCAGAACTGCAATAATAAATGAATCATGAAACATTAGATAGGGTGGAGATGGGTATAGAGTATGGCACTACAGTGCTTGCACAGCACACTCTGGATACAACTCCTGTACCACAAAATCCAAACCAAATCCAACCAAATTGCAGCCAAACAAACAAAACCCCCAAATGACAGACCCAGCATTTCACTGACCTGAGAACATCTAGTTAGGTTCTGAGAATATAAAGACTTGAAAGTAGGAGACTGACATGAGATTAGTAGCAAAAATTAACAAACCATGCTGGTATTTAGAGATTATGACACACAAGGAAAAGATGATGTTTAGTCTCTATTCAACATTTGGCTATATACAATTAATTCCTCATGTCTACTTACTCAGGAGTAGATATAAAATTTGTAATTCAGAGGGATTAGAAAAGAAAAATTACTTCCATTATACAGGGCTGTCGGCTGTGGCTGAAGCTGGAAATTGGTCGTATGTATGAGGGCAGAACAAGGTCACAGTGCCTAAACCAGTCAAGCTGCCTCAGTCTTGAGAAAAGTATCCTGCCTGGACAATTTCAGTCATTAGTTGATAGGCAACGTTGTGCATTACCACACTAACTTTGCAAAGATACAAATAAATGCCCCTACTGTTGTTGTTCAGGACCTTTGACTGTCTGGCAGAGGCTTCCACATGACCTCAGCTCTTACCTCTTGTCTTTATTTTCTAAATCCCCCTGCCCTTTTCTCCCAGGGACCACCAACAGGCCAATAAGTCCCTACACAGGGCAAAATCACAGCAAATTCAATTATTTTCCCAACCTACTGTTCACATGGAGAAAAAAAGGACAACGGAAAAGTCTTTATGTCTCTATCAGTACATATATATGAGAGAGAAAGATGAAGGAACAAAAAGAATGAGAGGTTGGAACAAGAGAGAAAAGGAGGGCCGGGGAGCTAGCTCAGTAGAATAAGCCCTTCCCTGGCGAGCACAAGGGTCTAAGTTCAATCCCTGGTTCTGGAAAAAAAAAAAAAAAAGAAGAAGAAGAAGAGAGAAAGGAGAGAAAGAAAGAGGACAGACATTATTTGCTCCCCCCCCCCCACTAAATACAGGGAGCAATGACTGAGCCAAGTTAATACTAGAGATATTCGTGGTCTCCAAAATCAGCCAGGCTATCTTGAAAATTTGAAGGTTGTGAGTAAAAGGATGTGACTAAAGTACACAGATAGGAGCATGAAGCAAAGACCCAGCTGGGAACGACATTTTAACAAAGAACACATTCTAAACTAACAAAGAGTTGAAGTAAATGACATTCCTATTACTGAAGGGACCAGGATCTAATTCCCTCCAGAGAGTAGATTACCAAGAGATTTCAATGGTTAAAAGGACAAACAAGACAAATGCCAGAAATAATTCTTTTAAAGGGCCCTTGGCATGTTTCTACTGATCTGATAAATTATGTTGGTCTTTGGAAAAGACCAAAAAGAGACATTTAAGAAGCTATGCTCTGGCCTTTCTCAAACACTATACAGATAAGGCACTCCTGCAGTGATTGAGATGAGGGGAGTTTTCTGACAGGTGTGGCCCAGCTGTTTATGCCAGGAGCATACTTTCTTAGAATCCTAAAGTATTATTTAATATAAAAAATTAAGCCAATACACAAGGTCTTGGGCTTGATCCCTACCACTGCAAAAGCAAAACAAAACTACCCAAAAATTCAGTTCAGTTTCAAAAGCTAAATGCTCATAATTCTAGAGCAAGTAAAAGCCCCTCTTTTGCTCTAGGACCATTCTTTTCCCAAATTTAACCCTTAAAGCTTCATATACTTTGTTTCATATAATGATTATTATGCATGCTTACAAATTAGATTTATCCTGATCAGGAAAAGGCCAAAAATACTGTTCTGAATTTCTACTTTTTTTTTAAAGTGTCTTGAGACAAGAGACTCACCATGTAATTCAGTCAGCCCTTGAACTCACCATGTAGCCCAGGCTGGCCTCGAACTCACAGCAATCCTGCCTCAGTCTTCTGAGTGCTGGCATTACAGGTATGTGCCACCATATCTGACTGTACTCTAATTTAATGCTATAGCTCTAAAACTATCTCTTCCTATTTAAACGCTGTATATAAATCTATATTCTGTTTATCATAGTTTCTTAACCATTATGCTATAAAAATTTGTGATTAACACAACTAACACTTTGAGGATCGTGAGAGGGAGTGGTTCAAGACCTGATGCAAGGGAATTCTTGCATCAAGGGAATATCTTGCAAGGGAATGTCTCTAACTGCAATGAGTCCCCACAGTGGTGAAAGTCTAGGACTGTGGCCAGCCCAGCAAGAGCAGAAAGGATTCCACTGGCTTCTAAAATGTTCTAGAGCTTTTCCCCACCACTCCTATGGAAGGTGGGATGGAATAGGAGGTACATTACCATACATCCACCCCTAAGGCAGAAACACTAGGTTTTAAAAATGACTGGCAGTAACTTGAGAATGTCAAAGTGAGCTTAAAATCTTGAAAACAAACCCTTGGAGAGTAAGGGTACCTACAAAGGTACAGTTTAGCGCCAACAGCTACAAAGCTATTTACAGCAATTAACAAAAAACAATGTTGAGACTGCCCATAAGGATGGCAGTTAATTGGATTGTAATTCTTAAAATTTTCTATCCAATATTTTTCTTAAGGTTTACAGAAACTGAATATGGAGTAATTTATAGATTTACACTTGGTGCAATTTCAAGGTGACTGGAAGATATCCAATACATGCAGAAATTTTAAAACATCTCACTAAATTTGGAGGCAAGAAGACAAAAATTAATGGTTTTTTTCTTCTATCATCTCCAAATCAAATTCAAGTGTATTTTTGGGTCAATTCCTCCAACAGGTCATTTTCCTTAAATGACCCAGAAAATGAAACCAGCTATGTCAGAGAAGGAAATAGCATTTTAGAAATTATTATTTGTTTTAGAGACACTATGTTGCCCAGGTTGGCCTTGGACTTTGGTGCTCAAGCAATTCTCTTACCTCAGTTCCCCAAGCAGCTGTGATTACAAGCATGTGTCACTGGGCCTAGAAAAAATTGAAACTTTTTTTCTGGTACTGAAGACTGAGCTCAAGCCTCTGCCTGAGCTACATTCCCAGCTTTTCTTATATTTTGTTTTGAGACAAGGTCTCACTAAGTCACTAAATTGCCAAGCCTAGGGCTGGCCAAATAGCTCAGTGGAGTAAAGCACCTGCAAGCAGGTACAGGGGCCGGGAGTTTGATCCTGGGCCTGCCATGCCAGCCCCGTTTCCAGGGCATGCTAAGACAGCAATTTCGAGACTGGGCATGGTGGCACGCGCCTGTAATCCCAGCTCTTGGAAGACTGTAAACAGGCGGATCAGTACGAATACAATCTAGTAGTGAAACCCTGAACACCCTGTAGACCCTTCCCTAAAATTACAAAAAAAAACACTAGAGATTATACAAAGGCAACACATCTGTGATATGCATTTCACCTCAACTTTGAAGACTATTTAGCAATAGCTCATAAATTTTGAGCCAAAAAAAATCTAGGGACATAAATTTGAATACATACAACTACGACATTTGTGGCAATCAACTGATTTAATGACAATTTATATCACTGATGTCACTCCTTAGACTTTTCTTCCTCTTTAAATGGCAACACTTTTTGGATTATACTTTTGATAACCATTTTGCTGCAAAAGCGTAATTACAATCACTGTCTTTGCAAATGTTTCTTTGAAATGTGGCATTATTAATGATCCTTTCTATGTATGTACATGCGTATGTGTGTTGGGATTCAAATCCAGGACTTTGCACATGCCATCTACCTTCTCTTTTTAAAAAAGATCATTTTTCATTTTTTTTTTTGGCGGAACTGGGGATTGAACTCAGTACCTTCAGCTTGCCAGGCAAGCACTTATTCTACTGAGCTATCTCCCCTCATTCTTCATTACTATAGCTTTTATAATTAGATGTCTTGTTTTTTGAAATTAGGATCTCACTATGTAGTTCACGCTGGCCTTGAACTTGCAACAGGTCTCAGCCTCCCCAGTGCTGGCATTACAAGTGTGTACCACCATGCTTGGCTGGGAATCTTAGTAATTTGGACTTAAAGCAGTGAGGTTTTGGTGCTCACTGTCAGCACAAAGCTCAGCCCTTCACCATCACAGCCAGCTCACCACAAAGGCACCTGGCCAACTGGTCTAACTCTAACAAATGGCCTTGGAATCAATGATTCATTTCTTTAAATATTTGTTTGCATCTAGTCATTAAGCAGATCAAAGTCAGAAAGAACTTTATTTTTCCTGAAAATAAGACTTCAGGATTATGCTGCCAAGAGGGAAAAGCTTATTAAATGATCACAAGGAAGAAAAACCAGACACCTGGCACAAAATTACTATTGCTATAATCTTCCCTTCATCCTTCCAAAATAATTTTATATAAAGCAGGTTTTTTTTCAGGGTTTCCCCACCAAGAGAAAATCCTTATATTTTATTTCAAAGTAAGTTTCAAGCTTCAGTATACCTCACCATATATATCACTAGCTTGACTACTTTTGTTTGCTTTTTTTTTCCTCCAGTGTAGGGATTGAACACAAGGTCTTTGCACTAGGCACCATCCTTAATTCCTCTTATTTTTGAGACTGGTTCTCCCTAAAGTGGCTTAATTGCCCAGAAAGAGTTGAACTTGAGATGCCCCTGCCTCAGCTTCCCAGAATACTGGAGTTACAGAAATATGAAACCATATTGTGCTAGAATCTAGTGTTTTTATAAGTTACTGTCAGCACAAAGCTCAGTTTTTTTTTTTTTTTGTTGTTGTTGTTGCTCCGAATGCCTTCAGGGCAGGTTTGGCTGGCTTGAGTTGTGGGGATCAACCACAGCAACCTGAGCCTGACTGCTTTGTTGAAGTAGCCACTTAAAGAAGTGAACTAAGGGGCAGGCCCCCTAAAGCTCAGTTTTTTTTAATGTATTTAGTACAGGGTCTACAGGGTCTCACTACACAGATCAGACTCATAGAGGTCTTCCTGTTTGCAGCCTCCCAACCAATGGGATTACAAGTATGCACCACCACACCCAGTCTAAATTACCTTCTCAGTATACCCCAGGGAGGGATCGAACCCTTGTCCCTGCTTCTGCCTAAGCAGGCACTTTAATCTGCTGAGCTATCTGGCCGGCCCTGTGCAAATCTTAGTAATATATATGTTGAGCTTAATTAATGCATATATCTGTATCCTCAAGCCCAATCAAGGTAGAGAACATTGTTCAAAATTCTTTTGCTTTTAAAATATCCTGCAGAACACCTTAAAGACAATAATTTTCTTAATAAACATTCTGTTTATGTGGGAAAAAACAGAAGTCTACAAGTCTGATTACTTCATTCTGTAATATGTAGATAAGAAAAATAGGTATCTTTAACAGTAGGCTTGCCATTTGAAACAGAAACTACTTAAAAACATTTTAATTTTGGAGTGTTTCTGTCCTAAGACTGTAAAGCATCTACTATTTTTTTAAGGATTTCTTTTGGGGGGGAGCTGTCTCAGGCTGCCTTAAGGGCAGGTCTGGTAAGGCATGGGGAGCTGGGGATCGAAACACCGTCCCCTGTGCCTGACTGGGCTTGCCCCAGCAGGCGCTTAAACAACTATGCTAACCTGTAAGTCCGAATCTACTATTTTTTGGTAGAAAATGAACCTTGTAAAATACGAACTATCCTTCACCTTCATGGGTTCTCCATTCATGGGTTCCACTAAATGCTGATAAAAAATATTTGGAAAAAATAGCATTTATACTGAACATGTAATTTTTCTTATTTCTTAAGCACTATAGTATAACAACTACTTACACAGCATTTACATCATTTTAGGTATAATAATTTAGAAATGGCTTAAATTACAGGGAAGAATACATAGATTATATACAAATACATCATATGTAAAGGACTTGAACATCCATGGAGTTTGGTAATTATAGGGGTATTTCCCTAGGATACTGAGTGGGCTGTATTTGGGTGGAATTTCAGTTTCCCACTAAATGGAAATGGAACCCTTGATATGGTGTTTTTACATGTCACCCAGGTGTCTAAAACCATCTGTAATGGCACCAAGCACTTAAGGTATAACTTAAAAAGTGTACTATTATCCTCAAATTGTAACATTCAAGTAGTCTGGGAAAAGTCCAGAGAAAACTAGACGATTCTAATGCTTCTCTTATGCACTGAGGTTGGTTTAAAAAAATAACTCCTTTGAGAGGAAACTAAATTTTTGAGGTTGAAGTGTTAGGCAAAGAGTATCTGGAAAAACTAGTAGCCTCTTAAACTAGTAGCAATGGCATTTGGGGTTGGGTGGGACTTACCAGCAGAAAGAATTATAGAATACAGTCCTGATCGGAAACAGTAATAAAGAAATCACAAATCTTCATAGCATTGAAATTATGCATCAAAAAAATAAAATTTAGGAGGTGGAGATATGGCTTAGCAGCAAAGCACATCTCTAGTATCTGCAAGACCCTGGATTTGATTCATGGTACTGAAAAAAATAAATTTAGGACTTGGACACAGTAGGGAATTTCTAAAAGCAAATAACAGTAAAAAAGAAGCATTAAATAATCTCTGCCTGGTATCTCAAGGATTGAAAAATCTGTCTTGAGCCCAAAAGGAACTACTAAGGAAGAACTTGGATGTTAATGACAGCTGTGGTACAGGGGGAAAAATACAAGTGTAATATTCCATACTACTTAATATTTCCCCAGGATACCAAATAATAGGAAATCATATAGCTATGTCAATCAAATAAACACAAATCTCAAAGAAAAGGACTTTTCTGTTGTTGAAGAAAATATGCTATGAAGAAAACTAAACAAAATATGTAAGCAAAATGAATGGCAATACTTTGCTTAATGACATCTACTTAAAATGGTGTCTAAAAGTACACAATTGTGGGGCTGGAGAGATGGCTCAGTGGTCTAAAGCACCTACTTGAAACAAGCTTGGCAAAGAACAGGGACCGCGGTTCGGCCAGCGCCGCACGCGTGAAGCTCAAGTCTAAAAAAAAAAAAATAAATAAAAAAAAAATAAAATAAAAGTACACAATTGGATACCTAGTAGAACCTAATACGAAGTCAATAATAAACTTTAATTTTAAAGCCTGCAAAAATAAAGTGTTTCCAAAATATTTGCCACTTTAGAAAATAGATGCTGCTGGGCACAGTGGTACATGCATGTAATCCCAGCTACTCAGAAAGGTTAGTAGGAGGACTGCCAAGTTTTAGGCCAACCTGGGCAATTTAGTGAGACCCTACTTCAAATTAAAACATAAAAGTCAGCCACATGTCTGTGGCACATGTCTATAATCTCAACACTCAAAGAGGTTGAGGCAGGAGGATCACTGTGAGTTTGAGGCTAGCTTAAGTTGCAGAGTGAGTTTAAAGCCAGCCTGAACTACATAGTGAGATCCTGTCTCAAAAAACACCCTCATAAAAAATAAAAATGGCTAGAGATGTAGCTCAGTGGCAAAATCTCCTTGGGTTTGATCCTTAGTACAACAAACAAACTGAATAAATAAAAATACACTCAGTAAATATATACCCAATGGTTATTTGCCAGGAATTGAGCAAAGATGGAAAAAGGTTTCACATTCTGTTGGTGAGAGAGCTGGGATTAGGGACATAGGTTATCAATACATTTTTTTTTTAATTTATTTATTTTTATTTATTACATTTATTTATTGTGTTTGTGTGTGGCCAGCTCAGCCCACTAGGGGGCGGGGCTGGCTGGCATGTGGTGCTGGGGATTGAACCGTGGTCCCTGTGCTTTGCCAAGCTTGTTTCAAGTAGGTGCTTTAGACCACTGAGCCATCTCTCCAGCCCCTATCAATACATTTTGCTTCTTACCTGAAGCCTGTGGTTAAAGCATCAGTTTCACTATGAGAAGGCTGGTGGCCCCACCAATTTTCCAGTGGAAAAGGAACTTGATAACATTGTACTATCTGTAAGGGCAGGTTGTTAGATGGCTGTATAAACTGGTGTTAGCAAAAGGGGAATAGAGGTCTACTTCAATTACGATAAACTTCTTTAAATTATATGTCAAAATATTATGATATAAATGTCCCTAGTCACATAGTGAAAAGTTAAACAAAAGTTCATAAATTAAGAGGATAAAGCTAAATAGTAATGATAATGAAAAAAGAACCAACAAAAAAGAATCATAATGTGAAATATCACAATGGAAAACTGAAATAATTCAGAGACTCTACTGATGATGTACCTCAAAGGAAGCAGCCCCTGAGAGCTGCAGAATTCCCATTCTGCATATGAACGTGAGAAGCTTTGTGTCAGTATTAGTTTCCCAGGAGAGATTACCTGGGAGGAAAAGATATTGCGGACTACAGTAAATTCTAATCACTTTAGTTTTGGGTTACTCATACTACATAATAATTTACTTCGTAGGTTATTAATAGCTGTCAGGTATATATAAGTACGAACAACTATGAAGCAATGAAAACTTAACAAAAGGAGCTGCATTTCCTTCTCATGAGAAGGGTTGGGATAGTAACTATATTTTGAGAATCACTGCATTAAATGAACAACAACAGAAAAAAAAAACCCAATTATTCAGGAGGTAGTAGGTGTAAGAAAAACTAACACTGAAACCTTAAACTATGAGGTAATGACATAATAGCTGAGTAAGGTATTTCAAATCTCCTATTTCAGGCATATAGGATCCATGAAATCATGCCTGGAAACTGTAATTTTAAGCCTTAAGAATCTATATGCAGAGTTCGCTCCTTAACAAATGTTAATTTATCAGCTGTTCACAATTTCAAGGTCTTAATTCTCAAAAGCTCACCCTTTAACAGCCCATCATAATTTACTTTTTTATTTTTTATGAGCAGAATATGTCTATTGAGGGAAAGAAAGCTCCTGTCAAAGAGGGACAGGAAGGGGGCCTGAGTGGGTTGTCCCTAGGAAAAAACAATCTTTTTTTTTTTCTTTTTTGGTGTACTGGGGATTGAACTTAGGACCCTGCACTTGCCAGGCAAGCACTTATTCTACTGAGCTATCTCCCAGACCCCCCGTCATTATTTAAAAGGTAACTTTACCCAATTTACCCTTGTATATATCACACTTTTCTAATACTGCTGTTTTTATATCTTTAACCAGTAACCATTCTCTTTTGGAATGCATTGAAAGCAAAATCTGACAAATTTTTACTTTTTTTTTTCTAGTCATAAAAACCGGGGGGAAAAAAAAGATTGGCAAGAAAACTAATTCAAAAGCTGACTGAACAGATAAACCAAAGGACAATTATTATTCTACACTTCTAAAGTTGTAAGTTTCCACCTAGAGTTTTTGGTCTAAAGTTTTGGCATTTACTACTTCTTGACTATTGTTTTTCAATGTTCTGCTTTGAATACTAAGGGAAAAAAAACTATCCTGGCTGGCCAGATAGCTCAGTGGATTAAAGTTCCTGCTTAGGCAGATGCAGGGACCAGGTTTTGATCCCGTTGTTCCGTCCAGGCTCTGCCCCCGGGGCACACAGAAACAGCACTGGGTATAGTGGCCCACACCTGTAACCCCAGCACTTGGGAGGCTGAAAACAGGAGGATCACTAGGAGTCTGATCTGTGTAGTGAGACCATGTACTAAATACATAAAAAAAAAAAACAAAAAAAACCCCCAAAACAACCTATCTGTGTGATGGTAAATGCATTGAAAAAAATGTCAAGGCCTTGAAGAGAAGTTAAATTCATAGTTTACCAACTTTTCCTTTTAATCATTTATTTATTTATTTATTTATTTAGCACAGAGTCTCACAGTGATCCTCCTGTCTCAGCCTCCTCCCCAGCGCTGGGATTACAGGTATGTACCACCATCCCAGGTTTCAGTGGCTGACATGGTGAAGAACTCTTTGAAATGGTTCCACTGTTTCTCATTTGTGATACCTATTGACTTTACACTTACTTTTGGAACTCTATGACTATCACATTCAACTTTACAAAGAAAGCTACCACCATAAAATAGTATTTCTAATATAAAATTGTGTAATAGTGATTATCATCAAGAGTGGCTAACAGTTTCTCCAAACTCACAGATTTAAAAAGAAAAAAATGTATTTAAAAGAATAAAAGTGATTTCCCATTTCAGTTTAACAAGTTACTTTATTATTACAGAAAATATAAAAGACTCGGGCCAATCACAGATCTCAGCAGGCATAACGCTTGCCTGGCAAGCAAGAGTCATGAGTTCGATTCCCAGTACAAAAAGAAAAAAGAAAAAGAAAAGAAAATATGAACGATTCTTGATAAGCTAAATTAAGTGGAGTGGAAACAGATTGTTGTAAAAGCGCTTCAGGAACAGGACAATTTTGTTTTCTCTTCCAAAACATACTTTAGAGCTATTTTTTTTTTTTCCTATTCAGTATAGAATAACACACTGTAATATAAAATGCTTTTTAATTCCCCTTGTTCTTGCTACAGGAAAAGTTTACTGACAAAGCAGAAAAAGTTCATATGGAGTATGCTAGAATACTTCCTATGAAGTATTTTATAATATAAAAATATCAAATACAGAAAAAATAAGACATAAAAACACCAATAAGCCGAACACAGACATTGAGCAGCTTAGGACATCATATAAATCCTGAGAAATTAGAAAGCTCACAAAATTACCTTTTTTTAAAAAAAAATAAAGACCCATTAAATATAAGATTGGAACAATTGGGGTTGGGGATGTAGCTCAGTTGATGGAGGGCTGCCTAGCCCAAGCAAGGTCCTGGGTTTGATTCCCAGCACTGCAAAAATAGAAAAACAAGAAAAGCTAGTTTAAAAATCACCAATAAGCTACCCATTGTTTGGACTCATAGTGATCCTCCTGTTTTCGGCTTCCCTAATGCTGGGATTACAGGCAAACTCAGATTACCACTTCCAGTCTCAATGGTCATCTCAGTGCACCCAGGGGTGGGGCCAGCATGGCATGTGGTGCCAGGGATCAAACCCTGTTCCTGTGCTCTGCTAAGCAGGCTCTTTAGTCCGCTGAGCTATCTGGCCAGCCCAATTACCCATTACTTGGAAAAACAGCTCTAACAAATGCCACTAACTAGACATTAGTAAAGTATCATTCATGGATACAAATATTATGATCTTGCTAGGCATGGTGGCACATACCTGTAATCCCAACATTTGGGAGGATCCTTGTGAATCTGAGACCAGCCTGGGCTACAAAGTGAGCTCAAGGCCAGCCTGAACTGCATGGTGAGACTCTCTGTCTCAAAAAGACGAAACAAACAAACCAATATCATAACCTCATACAGGCCTCTACAAAGGAAGGTATACCAAGATATGGAAACTCTACCTAAAGTGAATTAAAATAATCCTTACAGAAGAGAAATGTAAAAGCATACAGTGTGCCTTATAATCTATACTGCAAGCCAGCCACAACAAGAGATAAAACTCATAAAAAGAAAAAGGCTGTCTCAATTTCAAAGCACAGCCAAGCAAGAAAGCATTGATTTCACTACCTATAATTGAAAGGCCATGAATACATATGTGAAGAGAGACAGGAGGTTTATAATCCCAAGGTCAAATTACTTGGAGGAAAATTTCAGCTGTCAGGGAAAACTTCCTGAAGATTATATTATAGCACTAACTGCAGCCAGAAGTTCAAAGTAAATTAAAACCCAGAGCACACAAACTGTAAATCATTCCCATCTACTCCCATCAAAACAGGGCTTGACATCATGGGTTTGGATGACAATATTATCTAAAAAGCTGCAAACCTTGAAGCTTTCAGTACAAAATGGCTCCTATATGGGGGAATCAACAACTGTATTAATGTTAATGTCATATATCTACATACTGCTTTACAGTTTAGAAAGTGTTTTCACTTTTATTCCTCAATAGCAACCGGTTTGGTGATGCAATAATAGTTCCTTACTTCACCCTCAGCCCGTAATTTGAAAAGTACTTTCACACAGAGCATTGGTTATTCTACAGAAGAGACTCAAGGAAGTTAAATCATCACTAAGGACAAGCAGATGGTAGGTGACAGAGCTGGAAAATTGCAGGTCTCTGCTCAGTCAATAGTAGACACTTGCAACCCTTAAAAGTTCAAAGTACAGCACTCCAGGGGGAGCACCCTCACTCAGATAACTACCCAAGATTGGAGCTCAGTCTCGGCTGACCACCTCTTCTTGGTCTTTCTCCCCCAAAAACAGGGAAAGTGAAGTAACAAGCAAGGACAAATGTCTAATCTGGAGTCAAGAAGAGGGTGTCGGCGAGATGGACTCCCTCCACCCGACCCTGGCACTAAGCCCCAAAGAAAGTGAATCCTGCGTCTGAAGCACCTGGTCGGTCTTCAGAGAGAGGGAAGACCCGCTGGCCATTCCCGCCTCCTCTCAATACGGTATTCTCCCGATCCGCCCAGAAACAACCCTTTCTTCGCCAAGTCCTTACTCAATTTTTAGCTCGGGCCTCCACAGCAGGAGAATCCGCTAGGTCTGGCCCTCCTACTCGGTCTCTCAGACCCCAAGCCATTTCCAGATCTCCCAGGGGGAGCTCTGGCTCCCATTTAAGCCGCAAACTCCACAAAAGAAAGCCCTCCCAAAGCGTCCTCCCCCTTGTCCCTTCTGTCCCGGGAACCCTGAGGAGCACTCCTCAGTCCCAGGAGCCTGCTAGGAAGATACCTGCTTCTCACTTGGGCCGCGTTAGTCTCAGCAGCCTCAGAAGACAGACCCCCCGCCCCCCACACACACAAGGAACTTCCTCCAGTCGAGACCCCTCGCAGAGGGAACAACCCTCTTTCAGGAACCTCTGTCAGGCGCCTTAAGCGCGGTCCTCGGAGAGCTCCCTGCCGCGTCCGGGGCTCTGCTCAACGCCACGCTCTCCCCGGTCCATTCAGGAGCCTGCCCCTAACATAGTCCCGGTCTCTCCGCCCCAGGCTCAAGCAAGCGTCTGCTTCCCTCCCTCACAGACGTCCTCAGCCCTCGGATTCAGCTTCCCTCCTCACGTCCCCACAGGACTCCCCGGAGCCGCGCGACAGGGTTGAAACACTGACTTTCTCTAGCTCCGGAGCCAGCCGGAGGTAGGGGGCAGCGGCAGCAGCGAGACTCCTTTGTGACAGGTCCAAGAAAGCGGTAAAGATGGACGCGAGGCCACGGAGCTGCCATTACGCGCAGGGCCCACCCCCGCTTCGTACCGCCCTGGCCCACCCTCAGTCACCTAGGTAACGCCCCTTCCCTGAGGGCAAACCCTCTACCTAACATCCAATAATCCTTCAAGAATTGTGTCACGTGAGGCCACGACTAGGCCCGCCCCTTGGGAGTGAGTTGGCCAATCCTCTTGCTAAGAGGTGAATGGCCCAATGAGATCTCTCCGGTTCGCTTTTGGAGCACCGGATTTCCAAGGGCTTCGGGAGGAGAAAGAGAGCTGTTGATTGGGTCACGCTACCGGAAGCAGGGCGGAACTTTGTTGTGGCGGTGAGGAACAGGAAGCCCTGAAGGGTCAAAAGGAATACAAAAGCAAAGGCTTTTTTTCTTTCTTTAGTTTTTTTCTCTTTTCTCTCTTTTTCTTTCTTTTTTCTTTTTAAAGATTGTAGTGGCCTTTGTAGTGGCGGTTTGGGGTTGGCGCCGCCAAGGTGAGGGAGTCTCGCCTCCCGCGCGCTGGTAGGTGAGTGCGTCTTGGGTTCTGGCCAAGCGGCGAAACAGCCTGGGCTTCTTCGCTGAGGAAATGGTGAGCCGTGGCTGGAGTTAAGAGTTAGGGCCACGCCTGCACTCAGTCCACACATTTGTCCTGTGTCTTGGGACGCCGGGGCCCGGAGCTGGCAGGGCCTAGCCTGAACGGAGCCGAGATATCCTGTAGAAAAGGCTTGAGTATCTTGGGACGAGGTTCCCAACCCTCTGAGGCCCGCCCAGGATTCCGCGCCTCTGGTCGCTTTCTCCACTTTTCTGTTAAATGGGGTCCCCAGGCCTCAGATGAGGAGCGGGCTCTGTTCCGGAGATTTTGGAACAGCTCCAAGTTACTCGGGATGTGGGGACGCCTGGTCTAAGTGGTTGAACCTCAGAATGTAAGTGCAGGGTGGGAAATAGTTTCAATGTGTACCACGTAGTTGATGTGCTACGTGCTTTTTTCCAAATAGAAAACAAGGCAGCGTGCCCGTTTTGCAGGTCATTTAGAGAATTAAGACCGAGAGTTGAGGCATCTTGAGAGTTCTGGCCCTTTGGGAACCAAGGGGAAAAAGACCTATCCGTTCGTGTTTGTAGCTGCGATTTTTAAACGTTGGAGGAAAACAATTTCTGTGGCCTTTATTTTCTAAATGTGAATCTCTTTCTTTCTCTCCCACGCGCACTCACCCCCAAGCCTGAGGGGGTCTACAGTGGAATCCAGGAAGCGGAATAAGAGCCTAGTGGTCAAAATTCCCAGTAACCGATTGTGTACTGGGTATGAGATAAGAGTGGCCGGTGTTTCACTCTAGTTAAGTGTGTGTCCTGAGGACATCCTAAAATGGTTTGGAGGGCACTGTTTAAAGGAATCAGTGTTTAAGAGTCCTTTTTGACATAAGAAATTGAGCTGACATAAAGGCAGGTTTTATGTCTTCCAGTTGGAGCCCTACCTAAGATGAGCTGTGGGCATTGGTAAGGGCCTCAAAGTAGAGGCTTCTGATTATCTTTCTCTGTTGAAGTCTTAATGCCATTATGGGGAAATCTTCATGGTCTGAAGAAAGAGAGAATTATGTCAAGACCATGTACCAGTTGTCATTCTTCACTTTGACTCTCCAAGAATTTGATATTTGGTTAGGCTCATTCTGCCGCTTCAGACATTTAAAAACACTTATCTAGTAAATGAAGTAATTTAAGTGCATGGTTCAGCTGTAGGCTCAATTGAAGTATCTGTTTTTATAACAGCTGAATTAAACCTTTTCAATGTGCTCACTATTAAACACCTTTTAAAATATACTTAAATATGATCTTTTTCACTTTTTATAATAGCATGTGTGTTTTAAAAAAATTAGTTCACATTGTTAGTACAGAACAATGATATTCCATTGAAGCATTTGATACATACACATAACAGTCTGTGTATCCCCTCTCTTTTTTTTCCCCTCTCTCTTTTCTCTGCTCCATTCCCTTTTTCATCTCCGAGTCTCCCTTCTAGTTTTCTAGCATCTGTGTTTTACTTATTTATTTACAGTTTTAAGTTTCTTATATATAAGAAAACATGGGCTATTTCACTTTCTGAATCTGGTTTATTTCATTAGGGATAATGGTCTTGAGTTCCATTTCCTGCCAGTGACATTTTGTTTTTCTTTATGCCAGGAAAAAAAAAA